AGTCCTAAAACTAGATAAAGAGAACCCAGTTAAACAAATGAGTCAAAAATATTATACCTGTTTGTTGATTGAGGAAAATGATCCAAAATTACATATTGGTGTATGGCAAAAGTATGTAAATCTCTAGGATTATCAATTTATTTGAAGGGGAAATTAGAGTCAGGTGTTTATCAATGGGATGATAATCAGGTGTGAGTATGGGAAGTCCTGCCTTATTTAAAGAACAGAATTCTGGGTATTTAACTATCACAGTCTGATCTTCACAACACAAGGATGTAAAAGTATTTCATGGCTTGAACAAAGGAGATTTATGTGGACCTCCAAAAAAATGGTTGTTGATGCTCACCAGGTTGGAAAAGGTTACAAAACTATTTCCAAAGAGTTTGGACTCCACCAGTCCACTGTCAGGCAGATTGTGTACAAATGGAGGTAATTCAACACCATTGTTACCCTCCCCAGGAGTGGTCAATCAACTAAGATCACAACCACATGTATACTTCAGGAGGTCTCAAAGAATCCTAGGGTAATGTCTAAGGAACTAAAGGCTTTTCTTGCATTGGTGAATGTCAGCGTTCATGAGACCACCCTCAGGGGAACACTGAACAACAGTGGTGTGCATGGCAGAGTTGTAAGGAGAAAGCCACTACTCTTGAAAAAGAACATTGCTGCCCATCTACAGTTTGTGAAAGACCACATAGATAAGCCAGAAGACTATTGGAAGAATGTTCTGTGGATGGATGAGACCAGAAGAGAACTTCTTGGCTTCAATGAAAAGTGTTATGTTTGGTGAAAGGTGAACACTGCATTCCAGCATAAAAACCTTATTCCGTCTGTGAAACCTGGTGGTGGTGGTATCATGGTTTGGGCCTGCTTTGCTTCCTCTGGACCAAGACGGCTTGCCATCACTGATGGAACTATGAATTCTGAATTGTACCAGCAAATTCTGTAGGAATATGTCAGGGTATCTGTCCATGAACTGAAGCTCAAGAGAAAGTGGGTCATGCAGCAAGACAACAACCCAAAACACACAAGTAATATGACCAAAGAATGGTTAAAGCAGAAGAAAGTTTTGGAATGGCCAAGTCAAAGTCCCAACCTTAATCTTATAGAAATGTGGAAGCGGACAGTTCATGCAAGGAACCCCACCAATATCGCTGAGCTGAAGCTATTCAGTAAGGAAGAATGGGCTAAAATTCCTCCAAGCCAATGTCCACGACTGATCAACAGTTATCAGAAACATATAGTTGCAGTTATTGATGCCCAAAGGGGGGTACACCAGTTATTGAAAGCAAAGGTTCACATACTTTTGCCACACACAAATATGTAGCTTTGGATCATTTTCCTTAATAAATAAATGAACAAGTATAAAGTTTCTTACTTATTTGTTTAACTGACTTCTCTTTCTCCAGTTTTAGGATTTATGTGGAGAACAGGTCACGTTTTAGGTCATACTTATGCAGAAATATTGAAAATTCAAAAGAGTTCACAAACTTTTAAACGCCACTGTAGGTTCAAGCAATATACACAGCCGTTAGTAAGTAATGGGCTGGGTTCCCTCCATGAAAGAAAAGAAAGACACTAATAATCCTAACCAAGCCCCCACCCCGCCGGCCGGGGGAATCCCTGGGGTTGGAGCCACCCCGCCTCAAGATTTCCGGGGTTGGGGATAAAGAGGGAAAAGAACCCCAAACAATTT